AGTGACATGTGTGCTGCTAGGGAAATCTTCAAGACCTGTAAATCCTATAAACTTCATAAGGGAGATTTTTGAACTTGACCTCTGGACTTATCCTGCGAGAGAGTCATGAGAACTCACCATGAAAGACCTTTAGATTTGACCTGGTAGATACCCCGGAAGTTCTTTTGTTAGTCTGCCCTAGAAGTCTACAGATCTTGTCTTTGTAGTTATCTGGACTGTCTTTGGCATTTGTCAGGGCTTAAATATTCTATAAAGCTGGGTTTAGATAAGGCAAGTCAATTAATCAACTTATTGGAATTCCACTTACTTCAACGTGAATTTAAGGTGAAAATCTTGTCATTCAAGTGAGTCCAATTCACTTGAATCGAAAAAAATTGAACCGGGCTCAACTTTTCAAGACAACTGAACTCCCCTGATTTGATCAATTGAACTAGATATGGAAGTCCATTGAATTTGCAAATTTCCCCTGGAAGTTCTCTCGATTTATCGTCTTTTGAATTTCCCATGGAAGTTCACTGGACTTGATTTGTTAATTTCTTGGATTTTACCTTAAAGTTATCTGTTGTTGTTAATAAATTTATTTGATAAGGCTCATTCGAATAAACTTTACAGAGCCGAGAATTCTTGTTTACTAAACATTGCTCCCCTATAGTTAAAAGGAACAACACAATAAACACTTTATCTTCTGCTATCCAATAAGCCTCCTCCATCAGAACGGGATGCGCTTCCAGTGGTTTCATTGTATGGCAGTACCGCCAACGGGGAGCAAAATGTTTCCATTGCAGCCATGGACGCATAACGTGGTCATCACTCACACACTCATCACGCAACGGACGCTTTCCAAAGTCGACGACGCATCGGCCGGAAGAACTGCTGATGAAGAGCAATGAGGAGAACCACACAACGGTTGCTGCCGAATAAACCTAGATAGAGCTGGAATTAGGGCGTAACAGCTTTTGTAAACAATGACTTCTCTCGATGATTTCTCGGAAGTCATGGCTCTCCCTGGCAAATCAACATCACCATCGAGTAGAGGAAGACTTCTCCTACCCGATGGATATATTGGTTTGTGTAGGCGTGGCTGTTACACCCTATCTAGAAACAAATGATTGCGTTACACACATCGAGAGTAGCCTGCTTCTGTTGACTGTTATCTGAAGTTGACTTGCAAGTTTTCTGAAAATTTCCAGGAAGTTCTCTAGAACTACATAGAAAGTTTATTGAATTTCTGGAAGTCCTCTGTGCTTGACCTGGTACAGATCCTCTCACTGACCGTATCATAAAAGTCTTCTTGACTTGCCCTAGATGTCTTCGGGACTTCGCCTGGAAGTCTTCAGAACTTGTCCAGAAAGTCGTTAAGACTTATTTTGGTAGACCTCTGGACTAACTATGGAAGGTTCAAGAACATGAACTGGAAATCCCATGGATTTACTTTGGAAACCCTCAGGGTTTGACCGTGAAGTACTCTGGATTTACTCTGAAAGCTCTCTAATCTAGTCATAACAGTCCAATGGACTTATTCTGGACTGACTTTGGAAGTTTTCAGCACATTTTCTGTAAAACGTATGAACTTGATATGGAAGTTCTCAGGAGTTCTTCTGGACCTGTCCTGGAAGTTGTCTAAACTTGATATCCCAAGTAACAATTTGGGTTTTATGGAGGTTCTGTAGACCCTGATTTGGACTTGTAGAATGCTTTAAAACCTTGATAAAACTTGCAATGTTACTTGGGATGAAGCTCTATGAAGTTGATCTGTAATTCATCTAAACTTTTTTTAGAAGTTCCCATGAAGTCCTCTAGACTTACGCGAAAATTTCACAGAGCTTCTCCTGGTAGTTACACTGGAAGTCTTCAGCTTATCACGATTTCCCTCTGAATTTGCTCTAGACTTGTCCTTGAAGTCTTTTAAACGCGCCTTGGATGTCATCTGGACCGTTTCAACACTTGCTCTGGAAATTCTCTGGACTTGACCAGGAAGTTTACTGGACATACGCTGATAGTCCTCAGTACTTGCTATGAAAGTCCAGGCAGTAACGTCTTAACTTATCATTAAACAGCTATGTACTTCTTCTAGAACCATTTGGGACATCTGTTTTTGGGACGTTATATGTGAATCCTCTGGAATTGGCCTAAAATTGCTCTGAACTCGGTAGTCTTTTGAACTTTCCCTAAAAGTCTTCGGAATTTCACATGGTAGTTCTTTGAGCTTGTCCAAGAAGTCTTCTATAAATACACGGAAGGTTCATAAGAATTGTCTTGGAAGACCCCAGACCTTTTTCTGGAAGCTCTTTGGACTAGACCTGGCAGCAACACTGAAAGTCTTTTGTACTAGCCCAAGTAATAATTTGAGTTTCATCCATGTCTGTAGTCTTGTAGACCATGATTAAGACTTAATGAATGCTTTAAAACTATGATAAATTGAAAATTAGCCGCATAAGAAGAGGAAAATTTGAATATTTTAAATAATAAAAAAAATTAGAAAAAATACTAAATATGCGATTGGAAAAAATAATAAAATAAGAAAATTTTAAAACCAGAAACTGTAAAATATTAAAATAAAACAACTGCACAGGTGACCTGGAAAATCTGAAAATGGACAGTTGGAAAATTGAAAAAGCGGAAAATTGCAATATAAAAAATAAAAAAAATATGTAAATTCTACAATTTTTTTTTAATTTGAAATTACAAAACTGGCTAATTCGAAAATTGGATAATTGGACTATAAGAAAACGATAAAATCGCAATACACTTAAGGCTTTTTTAAAAGGGGGTTACGTATCGCGTGAAAATCATTTTAAAATAAAATACCAATATTTTGAAGCCACATGCCTAAATAGTTTCAATCGTTTATGTTTTGATGCCAGTTCCAGCATATTTTAAAAAAATTCTGCATTTACATAAAAAAATTGGGAAACTATTTTAAGTACGCCATTTGATTACCAACGACTTCAAACGGATAATGTGATTGGAATCAGTTCGATATGTTGTATCATTTTTGAGAAATCGTTAAAGTCATACCATGTAAATTGCGATTGACAGGTACCAATGAAGGAAAAAAAACCTTTGAAAAAAACATCGTTTAAAAACCAGTTCAAACCAGACTTAAGTGAATAGGAAAATTTTGAAAAATGTAAAAAAATAATAATTTCAAAACTGAAAAAATGGGAACTGTAGGTCAATTGCTAAATTTGATTTTGAAAAAAAATCAAGATCTGCTCTCTATCAATGTATCCATCGCTAAATTTGCAATTTCTGAGACGGTCACGTGGTCACACAAAACTGTCACGTTCGGAAACATCAACCACATTTTACCCACACCTGCTGCATCCAGAGTCCTTCCCGATAAAACACTCATGAAAGAAACAAGCTGAAAATTAGTTTCCATTCGAAGTGGGTAGCTCAATATTTAATTCCAAAGTAATAAACTTTCGATGCCGGTGGGGTGGGGAGCATACGGTCCCTCCGGGCTTTTACCACACCACAGACGCCACCAGCTGTTACGATGTTTCCATCAGCGCAGGAGTGCTGCTACATGCAGACTTCAGCCACAGTCGTAAACTTCGAACGGAGAAGCTGAAACAAATTGCATTCTAGCTGGCTCCTGTTCCACCAGAGGGCAGAAACGCTGCACACAGACACGCCCTACTCGGATGTATCACATCTCTTGGATTCTCTACCGTGGCAAGCCAGTTGCTTTTGACCAGGGGCGTATTCGGTTTGAGCTGCATAAACCTCCAGATTAGAAAATTCCCTAAATTTAGGCAATCACACGCATCGATGCTCGGACACAGATGGCGCCTCTACGTTTTGAATCTCAATCCAAGCCATCTTAAAGAAATGCGACACACTTGAGCCCCTACAAATCCCACGTCACTGGTCAAACTAGCCTTCAAACCTAGCAGCACCTCATCCTCCCCAACGTTTCTCAAGCAACACGTCTTTTCATTATTTACCTGTGTATTGCAATTACAACTTTTCCCATTTTGTTGGCTTCCTAGCTTCCTCGGGCAACGGGCAGGGAAACTACAGCAAAACCAAGCATTCTTCATTCTGGGTGCTGGGAAGCTCTCGGAAAGGTATGGGCTGCAATGGAAGGAGCTTGTTCCTTGGGGGCGGGGAGGAGTGACAACACAAAATCGAACAACAGCTGACGCGGAGGGAGGTGGTCCCCTTGGAGGCGTCAAGGGGGAAGCTTGTTTCCTGTTTGAGCCGTCCTGGTTCTGTGGTGGGTAACGACTAGGGAGTGGAGACCAAGGTGAAGGGAAACTTTGAAGATTGGGTGCAGGACGTTGAAAAGCTTGAACAGGATTCTGGATCGAGAAAGACACAGAGAGAGAGAGAGAGAGAGCTGATGCGGTTGGGATTGTTGGGGCTCGTGATGTGAGAATGGTAATAATTGTAACAATTTAATATAAGTTGGGTGATAAACGGTTTTCACCCAACTTATATTAAATTGTTACAATTATCGTAGTAAAGTAATAATTATTACAGCTTATTTCGAGACAGTCAGCATTGTACTTTATAAGTTGTTTCATACACGACTTTAGGCATTGAACTCTGCTTTTAGCTTTCACAAACATTGGTAATCAAATATTGGATTATGGCTTCGTAAAGCTAACGCCATTTTGCCTCGGCAACTTAGTTTCATGATTTAATAATGAAAATTTACTTTCTGAAGACCCACATGTTATCGTCGAAAAGATCTCAAAAGTTAGTTCAGGAGACTTTAAAGGCAGCCTAGCGAACAATGTTAAAGTTCATAATAAAGAAATCCATAAGCCATCCCGATATTTTCCAGAAGTTAAACGAAATAGAAAATGCAGTTTTAGGTTATCTGAAGAGTTCTCTATTTTTTTTTTTCAAGATACGATTTCTTCTAGCAAATCACAAGGACGGTATTTTTTGTAATGTAGCTTTAGCTGTAAGTTTATTTTAAGGTTAGTTTTAGAGTGAAGTTCATTAGATTTAGTTTTACTCACAAAAATCGGTGTGTGAAACAGATCAAGTTGGGACCAGGGCTGCCAATGCTGGTCAACTCAGTATTCGGTTGGATCGTCACGGGGAAGGTTTCGGAAGCTCCGAGTAAGGCAGTAAGCTGTTGCTTAGCGGCAGCTCCGGATAACTTGGAAGTACAGTTGCAGAAGTTTTGGGAGATCGAGAGTAATGAAGAACGAGCGGCTTGGTCAAAGGAGGAACAGGACAGCGAAGATCATTTCTTGAGAACATTCAGCCGTACGGAGGAAGGTCGGTACGTCGTACGTCTACCTAAGCACGTGAATTTCGAGCAGATGTTGGGCGACTCTCGCGCAATGGCGCTAACGCGATTCAAGAGATTGGAAAAGCAACTGGAGAGGAATCTGGAGATGCGGTTGCAGTACAATGCATTCATGCAAGAATATTTGGATCTTGGGCATATGAGAGAAGTCAGTGAAGATGCAATTCAGAAGGAGGCAGCGGCAACAAGTGCGAAAAAGGTGTACTTCTTGTCACACCATGCAGTGCTTAAGGAATCAAGCACCACTACAAAAGTACGCGTCGTCTTCGATGGTTCGGCCAGCACGGACAGAGGTTATTCCTTGAATGATGCGCTACTGAAAGGCCCTATAATTCAAGACGAACTCCTCAGCATTCTTTTACGTTCCCGGAAGTATGAAGTAGCAATTGTTGGCGACGTAGAGAAGATGTACCGACAAGTATGGCTACACGTTGAAGATACCTTGTTGCAACGCATATTCTACCGATTTTCTCCAGATGAACCTATTAAAGTTTTGGAGTTATCAACGATAACTTATGGATTGACACCTTCGTCATTCTTAGCGATTCGTGCTCTACATCAACTTGCGGCAGATGAAGGAGAGGAATACCCGGAAGCTGTCAATGCTGAAGTGAAGGATTTTTATGCGGACGATTACATCGGTGGAGCATCCAGCGTAGACGAGGCCATCCAGCTTCACAAGGACTTTGATACACTAATGAAGAAGGGTGGATTTCCTTTACACAAATGGTGTTCCAATCAGCCGGAAGTTCTGACTGGCATCCCGGCCGATCAACTTGGGACAAATTTATCTATTTCATTCGAAATAAGTCCAGAGGAACAGGTGAAAACCTTGGGAATCACCTGGGAGCCTGGAACGGACAAATTACGATTCTACTATGGCATCACAGCAAGCAAGCAAGCAAGCGTGGACGAGAAGACGCATCCTGTCGTCTATAGCCAAACTATTTGATCCGCTGGGACTGATATCACCGGTGATTGTTGTGGCAAAAATGCTGATGCAAGAGCTCGCTCTGCTCAACTCAGGATGGGATACGCCTGTTCCGGTCGACATCGAAAGGAAATGGAAAGCATTCCACTCACAGTTGGGCAAAATATCGGAACTACGAATCAGTCGATTTGCTTTCGTTTCCAATTGGGTGGATATTCAGTTTCACTGCTTCGCTGACGCTTCTACTCTTGCCTACGGTGCGTGTTTATACGTACGGACGACGGATGAAGCAGGAAACGTTCGAATTGAGCTGCTTTCTTCAAAATCACGCGTCGCTCCACTCAAAAGATTGACCTTACCAAGACTTGAACTTTGTGTCGCCAAGGAAGCTGCACTACTACACTCGAAGGTGGTTAAGGCTCTCTCCTTGGAAAATGTACGTTCGGTTTTCTGGTCGGACAGTACGATTGTGTTACATTGGCTACGAACTCCTCCTAACACATTACATACGTTCGTGGCTAACAGAGTGTCGACGATTCAAACCTCCACTTACACACATTCTTGGCGGTATATAGCGGGAAAGGAGAACCCTGCTGACTTGGTTTCTCGCGGAATGGCTATTGATGATTTTCTACATAGCCAGCTATGGAAACAAGGACCCCCATGGTTGAGTAGTAACGAAGATGCGTGGCCCAATTCTTTAGAAGACTACAGCATCCCCGAAGAACTGTTGGAAACTCGCAAGGCTGTTCACAAGGTCACAGTCACGGAACCACCCAACGAGCTGTTCAGCTTGCGTTCTTCATTGCCTCCTCTACTTCGAATCGTCGCTTACTGTCGTCGTTTTGCCTACAACTGTCGCAACTCAACTGATAGAAAAAGCTCGACCACTCTCGCACCTGATGAAATACAATCAGCGAAGATGACGCTGACCCGTATCGCACAGGCTGAACAATTCCCAGACGAACTCAAAGCTCTACAACAATAGAAACGAGTCGACTGCAAGTCTAGCCTCAAGAGACTATTCCCCTTTCTCGACAATAGCGGAGTCATCAGAGTTGGGGGACGGCTACGTTTCTCAAATGAAGGTTATACGGTCAAGCATCCTGCTGTTTTGCCAAGTCATCACCCATTAACGAATCTCGTTATAAACTTCTTCCACTACCAGAATTTCCATAGCGGTCCACAATTTACATTGTCCGAAATACGTCAAGAGTTTTGGCCCATACATGGTAAGCGTATTGTCAACACCGTGCTTCGGCAATGCGTTCGCTGTTTCCGCACCAATCCAACGCCTATCCAGCAGCCCATGGGACAGCTACCTGCCGGTCGCGTACGCCCGGGACGACCGTATCAGATAACTGGCGTTGATTATTGTGGGCCGTTCTATCTTAAGCCGACCCGCCGAAATGCAGCTCCCCCGAAAGTGTATATTGCAGTCTTTGTTTGCTTTTCGACAAAAGCAATGCACCTCGAGCTGGCTAGCGACTTATCTACCGCTAGTTTTCTCTCAGTATTGCGAAGGTTCATCGGCTACCGTGGAAGACCTGTTGAAATACATTCGGACAATGAAAAAAACTTCTCAGGGGCCTGTAACGAACTAAAAGCGCTGTACGATCTGCTGAATAACCAGATTAGCTCTACCGTCATCAGTAAGGAACTTTTTCAGCAAGGAATTGAATGGAAGTTTATTCCACCACGCGCTCCTAACTTTGGAGGATTATGGGAGGCCGCGGTACGCTCCGTGAAAACTGCGCTGAAGAAGGAGATCGGCCTCCAACAGTTAAGCTACGACAACTTCGCCACGCTTCTAGTTCAAATCACCGCCACACTGAATTCACGACCTTTATTTCCTCTATCTGACGACCCCACCGAATTTGAAGCGCTAACCCCGGCGCATAACGGCGCCGGTGGTGTAGTGGTAAGCGTGATTACCTCTCACCCCAGCAGGCCTGGGTTCAATCCCAGTCGGCGCCGCCGGGATGTTCTGAGGCATAACATCTCTGATCACGCCTTCCTTCGGATGGGAAGTAAAGCCGTTGGTCCCCGGTTCATGAGTTGATGGGTCGATAGGTAGGGTCCAGGTGTGGGAGCTGCCTTCCTGGCACGTCGGTAGCATTGGTGCTCAGCACGGAAAACAAGATCGACGGAAAAAACAAACCAAAGGAAAAAAAAAACCCCGGCGCATTTTTTGATAGGCTCAGCTATGACAGCCCTTCCTGACCCCAATGTAATGTCAATTCCCACAAACCGCCTTGACCACTACCAGCAAATCCAGCAAATGTTTCAGTGCTACTGGCAGCGATGGAGCAAGCAGTACCTCACGCAGCTACAGGTGACAACGAAGAACCTGCCGATCAACCCCATCCAAATCGGAGGAATCGTCGTGCTACGAGAGGATAACCTGCCACCACTTTGTTGGCCACTGGCGAGGATCATCAGCTTACACCCAGGCTCAGACGGAATCGTGCGAGTAGTGACGGTGAAGACGGCGACTGGTGTGTATAAGCGGGCAGTCAATCGCATCTGTCCACTACCCAATGATGATGTAGATCGACGAACTACGAGGTCTTCAGGGCTGCCAGCAATCTAGAGCTCTTAGAAATAAGCATTTGATGAACGATTGAATTGAAAAATGAATTTTGAAGCTAGTTCAAGGAGCCCCCAAGGGACCGGCCCGGTAATGAAGCATGTTAGTTTGAATTTATACGACACTGGAATAGAACAACACATACATGCGTTCCACGATTAAAAATTAAAGCTAGAATAAGTTAATTAAGCATAACTGTTATACACAAAAACACCTCTGACAATTTGAACATCCCAACACCTACACTATTACACTGATAACATTGATAACTACAGATAACACATATAGAAAAGAAGTACATAGACCACATGCAAGTATAGGAAACGAAACAAACCATGCAATACAAAACAACAGATAATAAACAACAGGCCAGTTAGTAGCCAACAGATCGTCAGGCAATAAAGTGAATCTCGCCGTTTTTCGATCAAATAAACGCGTACCATAGTGAATCTTTGATAGCGCTGAAATAAATTGTGAACCTTTTTATTTTCACCAATAAAGTGATTCGGTTTTTTTTTTTGTGCATTGCAAAAAGTGTTTTTGTGCAGTGAAGGAAGGACTACCAAGTTACTCGGTGGCTTGTGTAATCGTGCGCATTTGGAAAGGAAGAAAAGGAAAATTTTGAGACTTGAAACAGAAGTTTCTACTACTGGTGCTATTTTCCGAGACACTGTGTTTCTCCAACCCACGAACACGGAGTGGTCAACAGTGTGCATGAGTAGCTTTAAGGACAATTCATTTGTACTAGACAATACTTTTCACTTTTTCCTGCATTAGTAAGGTAAGTTTGGTTAGGTTCAAACAATTTAGATTAACTACTTACAATTTGCATGAATTTGTATAAAACTTTAGGTAGGAACAACTAATTTCAAGAATAGGTTTAGCGGTATGATTATTAGCTGTAAGGAATAATTTTATGTAATTTTAAGCAAATTTAATCCAATTTTCATTAACTTTTCTCCTTCTGATAGCACGTTTACTTGATTGAATTCAATATAATGATCTACAATAAACGAGACAATGTAGATCTTCACGCTCTATCTCCCTCCTCTCTTTCGGTTCTGTCACTGTGGCAGTTTCGTTGACAGTTCGCCCGAGCCACTACTGTACCGTCACAAGCAGTGTTCCCAGTGCCAACATTCTCTCCCCCGTAACACTGGTCCAGTTTTATTCGTCTCATCAACCTCTAGGACCGCCAATCTAGCCACCGACCTACGCACTATCCCCCTCGCAGTTTGTACCATAGCTTGCCGTATTCTTCCGTCCACCCCCTTGATTGCTTGGACCATACGACCTCTTATCCACTCATTTCTTCTCCGAACGCCAACTATCAAGACCAGTTCCTCTTCAGCTATCGGCATCACCTCGCCGCACCACTTCGGACGTTTAGTCAAAGTTGGGAGATACTCCCGGGACCATCTTCTCCAGAACACGTCGAGCTGTTGCTGTATCTGGCCCCTAGAGTTTCGTATAGCGTCCGCTGGAGTTGTTGCCGCAACTGCCGGTTTTTTTTTTTTGTTAATTACTTTATTTGTACAGGCTCATTCGAATAAACTTTACAGAGCCAAGTTATCATTTTCTTTATACATTATAAATGTCTTAAATCTAAAATTAAAGGATTGTAACCGATTACTCGCGGTCTTCTCGAGGTTAGTGGATGACAATTGTTTGGATCGGGAGAGGGAAAAGGAGATTTGGAATATGATTTATGATTCAAAAATTTCACTATTTCTAAAACAAATACTTAATCCTATCGACGTTATATCAACTCT